TCGAAGATAAAGGTGACTTCTAGATTAGATTTAGGTCTACTTTGTACACTATTAGAAATTACATTTTTGTCGATGTCAAAAAGCATCTCGAAAAATTTTCATGACGCTTATTAGTTTCGTCAGAAAAATCCATTTTTCCCGACAAAAAGAAAATGTCCCAAAAATATAGTTTATGGTGCTAGACCTATGCGGACAAAAGCAAAAAATATTGCCGTGAAAACAATTTATCGCTACGAAATAGAAAGCGTTGGCATTACTATTTATCCTGTTTGGGGAGAGAATACCCTGGACACGTGGAGGACAGCTATTGGTGCTCCAAGATGACTCGTGGGTCATGCCCAGCTCGAACCGCCGAGATTATCACCACTAGCGTTGACAGGTGCTAAGTATGAGGGCCGAGGTGCGACCTGGCCAAGGTCCGATCTACCGGGAAGCTCGGTGGGGGCCGATATGAGCAACTGTCAGCGGCGTGATTATCGGGTGTAACCGTCGGTCCCGAGATTACCGGGTGTAACCGACGGTCCCGAGATTACCGGGTGTAACCGTCGCGAGATTAACGGTGGCCCCATAAGTAGAGGACCTCACTCCACGATCAGGTACGATGATTTTTGACCTCGAACTAAACTGGGATTCCGATCTATACTGACTTGATCGTCGGAGAGCTCACCTTTTTGTGCAGGTCCGCCCAAGTATTCAGATCGGTCCGGAGACCGAGTTCGATCTGCAATCAGAAATACACTGTTGTGCATATCCTTGCATAAACATATCCCAACACTATTGTTTTCATGGGTGAAAATATATACTTATGGTGATGCATTCAAATTCGTCGGTAAACGGCCACTTCTATCATTGAAATTTTCTCGCATCTACAAACCTCTCGCTCGATGTGGTTACAGCGATAATATTGCTAACGGAAAAAGCGTTGGGAAAAGCTTTTGTCAACGACTTTTTAATCTATATCAACGAATTTGTTGCGTCGAAAAAAGTGAAATTTCTTGTAGTGCATAAAAATGATATATACTAATCTTAAAAGTGTAAAATCATAATAACTAAAAACTCGAAATGAGATTTCAAATATTTTATCTATATTTAAAAAACTCAATGCTATATTTACAAATATAGAAAACAATTTATCTACTCATTACAAATCCCTAGGTATATTGGACAAATTTACCCATTTCAATGAAATTCCAAACTTAATTATGCTTGACATTGTTATTTTTAAATCTAGACTTATCAATACAAGTTATTTGAACATGCGAAGATATCGAAAATATTTAAGTATGGACTAATCAACACCCATATCTGATTAAGAAGAATGCAGGAGATCTAGATGCAAAATGATTTGAGTTCAATACATTATATTATTTTTAACTAGAAATTAATTATTTATATTAAGATGTGATGTTAAGGTTTGTCTCTAATTAGACGTAAGATTATTGTTTATATATGTATATATTAGTACACATATTTTGTTAATACATTATATTATTTTTACCTAGAAAATTATTTGTATTTTAGTTAATTTGATGTGAAGATTTGTCTCTAATTATGCGTAAGATTATTGTCCTTATATATGTCTATATATATTAGTACACATATTTTATTAATACAAGACTATTATTATGTAGCATTTGTAGCTGATTGGAGTAGGGTATTCAATAAAACTTTAACCATTTGTGTGTGGTTCTTTTCTTAAGCATTGGTTTATTTTTGAAAATTAAGCTTATAAACATTATTTTCTTTCTTTGTTTTATTGTCTACTATTTTAAAACATTTTCAAAATCTAACTTGAGTTTCCAAAACTGAAAGAAAGTCATTTTTAAAAAACTTTTTTTATTTTCGAAATTAGACTAAGAATTCAAATATATATGTTTTTAAGAAACTTACATAAAAATTTTGTTTTTTATTTCAACGAAAAGGTCTCATACTAATGGAGGTGTTTGCCCCTCAACTTGTATATATATACATGATCTTAATTCTCCCTTTATCTAGCTAGCGTGAGACTTTGATCGCAATTCTAACAAATCCTCCTTTCGAACAAAAGTACCACCATCCAACTCTTATCTAGGCCAATTCCTGATCTTCTCCATAGCACACTACCAATCCATTAGAACTCAACCGTAGATCACACCATGATGATGATTACATCGATCTTCTAAGATTAGATTAATCACATAGCTAAGTCAAAGGCATGGTTCTGATACCAATTATTATGGACAACGAACTCTCCCCACATCTCTACAATAGTATAATAGTGTCAACTTTGGGCACAAGCCCTCATGTTTTTGCTTTTGGTCTCGCACCCAAAAGATCTCGTACCAGTGGAGATATATTGTCTCTTACTTATATACCAATGATTATTTTTTCCCGGTGAGTATTTTTTTCCTGTGAGACTTTGTTCTCATTCCCAATAGAAATGGCGAGGAAACCCATCTACTTTTTAAAGATGACATAAAATAACTAAAAACAATATAGTTATCAAACAAGAACTAAATTGTCTAATGGAGTATTCAAAGAAAAGAAAACTTGTTCTAAAAATGACTATAGATAAAGAAAGTCGTCATAACTTAGATTCTCCTTCTATGATCATTTGTGAAATTCCCTAACATAAACCAATGTTTATAATCATTCCAAAAACTTTGGTGAAAACAAATAAACCACTTATCTATCTCTAGAAGATGTCCCTCTTCTTCGGGTGGGTACCAATTATTTTTGAGGTTTATAGAGAAGGGAATATTGCTAATATGGAAAAGTTAATTAATTGGCGTTGCTTGTAATAATGCACTTTGCCCTGCAACTGCCAACTGCCAACTGCCACTCKGTGGTTCATTTTTTACCCTATAAAATGTGGAGTGCAAGCTTTAAAAAGCTGAGTCCTTCTTCACTTCTTTTCCATCTTCTTTCTCCCTCAAATCATTTCCTTGCGATTTGACATCTCTGAAACTTGCAAATTTGACATTCAATCTCCAACTTCTCAACAGGTTTTTGACCTTATATTACTTCTTTCAGCGACGCGTAGAGGAGCGAGCGTCGATGATACTTAAGAAGACACACGATATTAGCGATATTTTTCGGCTTTTTACGATGAATTTTGTAGTATATTGTTTCCTTCCTACTTTCCTTTATTTTTACTATGATATTCCTCTATATTCAGGGATACCCAAGATCTAAATCCATGAAGATATCAAGAGTTTTTTGGTATTAAGTTCATCGGAGGGTTCGAACTTGAGACCTCTAAGCAACGCCTTCGGAGACCTTTTTAATCCTCTAATTCTCATTTACTTTACTTGTTTTTTTTATGAAATTGTGGTGTAAAAGAAGTTTAAAGTTAAAACCCTTTTGCATATGAAAACTTTTGAAGTTTGGTATAAATTTTTTCCATGCAATGATTAATTATAAGTGGACCAAAATGGTTTAATTTTCAATTTTGAAAATTTATTGATAGTTTTAACCATTGATCAATAGGGTGGTTGGTGCAATAGTTATTTGATGTGTTAGTTTCTTCACAAACTTACATTCAAGGGTCACATCTGAAGATAAATTTTACTCAAAAAAAGTTAATATAATATGCAACAAGTATTGAGTGATGCAAAATAACCAAAAGAACTCTTTTTTTTTTTTTCTTTTTCCAACTTTGGTTGAGCAATCCCTCACGTTCTTTAAGCTTTTTTCTTTCTACTAAAAAGATTAAACTATTGCACTCAAGAAAAATAATACCTACTCTAAAAATAATTTCTCTGTAAAAGAATAACTATGTAAAGATAGATACCTTAGAGGGGAGAATAAGAAAGATCATTTTGGTTTGAAACTTTCGAAATCTCCATTTTAGTTGTCCGTGTACTTTTAACTTTTGTTCATTTTAGTTTTTATACTTCAGAACGTCTGTTTAGATTTCTGTACTTGTAAAAAGTGACTATTTGGGTCTCTTTAGTTTCATTTTTATCTTATTTCTTTTTATTACAATTTTATTATGACAATTCGCGCACAAAATTTCTTGAAATTGAAATTGTATTAAAGTGTTTCCATCGTAAATTTATGTTAAAATTTTCAAATAGGGACCAAAATGGTCACTTCTTAAAAATTATATGGATCAAAACTAACGTTTGCAAGTATATAAACTACAATGAACAAAAATTGAAAGTACATGGACTAAAATGAACGTTTTGAAAATACATGAACCAACGGCAAAAAATATCAAGACTAAAATAGTATTTAAACCAAAAGAGCAATTAGTTTTTTTCCTTGTTGATTTTTTTTTTCTCTTAAGTTAACAATTACGAGAATAGTGATCAAACCATCTATTTTTTAGATCGTAATATATATTTTATCTACTAAGGTTAAAGGTTGAGTTTTGAGAGTTGGATTTTGATGGTGTCTCAGATAGGGAGACACTTCCATTTTTCTTTGACCATATTGAATATTATAAGTTCCATTTGGAAGTATTAATGTTTAGTGAGCAAAATTTTTGGCAGCTATATTTTATGGATCTTTTTGTACTCATATTAAATTTTCATGAAGGTGTAGAAAACTTGCTCCTTGAAATTTTTGCTGATGTTTGAAAAGAAACATTAGAAAATAACTTAGGATAATTAATTATAACAGATAAGAAATAAACTTTGTTAATAATGGTAACAAAGAAATTTGAAAGGAATACTTTTAATTAGTTTCTTTCTAAAAATGCTTACAAAATAAATATTCTAATTAAGAACACTTATTTTCAGAACTCATCCTCATATCTTTGTATAAGAACTCACTTTTGCATATGGCAAGAATTAAATGACAAGTTTAGTAATAAAAATTTGAAAAGTTAATAGAGCCAAAATGAAAAATAAGGAAAAGTTTAAAGACCAAATCTACATTGCAAACCATATCTAACATCTAAAACATTTCATCAGCTGAATTTTCCTTTTTTTTTTTTAATTTTTATGCTTATAGTTGATAGAGATTATAAACAATACTTCTTATTTCTTGTTCCAAATATAGAGAAATAATTACCAAATACAAATTTTCTTTTATCTGCAAAAGCATTGAAAATGAAAATATTAATATCCACAAGAAATTTGAAATTTCTGCCTCCAAATTCACAATAAAATTACTTGAAACAGAAAAAAGAAAAAAAGAAACCTCATAGCCACTTCCTCCAACTGCCTGATCTTCTGTCACCAGATAAGAACCTTGGCAGGCTTAACAGACTATTCACTCTGGTTATACCTTCCAATGCAGACCATTCCTCCTCTTCATTTGATATGCACTCAGCTAAGCTTCTCTTTGACGTGTTTCGGCCTCCGACTGCGACTTTCTCGTCATTTGAGTCACTGACAGGCACGATCTCGTTGCACCCTTGTAGGGTACCTGAGCGCTCAAGAACCGTCATTCTATGATTCGAATCAACTTTGACATCTTTAGTGTCATCTCCTGGTGTGGACATAACTTCTTCCGTTGCTTTAGCACAAGCTGTTGTGTTCTCTTCTGTTTCAGGCTCGTACTCGAGAAAAAGACATACAACAGCACAATCGTCGTTCTTGGACGTAGGATATTTCAGTCTCCATGCACGAACGGCGCAGTCGACAAGAGCTCTTCCTGCTGTTTCACGAGAAGGGGCTGATGCCACGATTTCAATAGCTTCCTTATTCGAGAGGACGTCCCAAACCTGTGTCATGTAGGGTGATTGATCAAATACATTTTCAACTTAAGGCCTGACTTCAACCTAAATCTTCATTCTGGTTCCAAGATACCAGAAGGAATACTCTATAACTAAACGTCAATTAGCTCGACCGAGAAAATCGATATCCTGGGGAACTCACCTATCAAGAAGAAAATGCACCCTTCTTCGATACAAATAGAAAACTACAAATACGAAAAATTAGAAAATTCTTTAAAGCTTGACAAGATATATAATTATAGAAGAGAAAGATACCCCATCAGTGGCAAGAATTATGAACTGATCTCTCACAGTAAGTTGTCGATAGTAAACATCGGGAACAGAAATTAGACCAAAATCCTTTAGACAGAAGTCCCCGAAAGCTCTCGCCATCGCCAACCCGGGTGAATCGTTATTAGGCAACCATACTCGTGCAACTTCAGGCTCATCCTGCAAAGCAAAGACCCTTCCTTTGCATTGCTGGATCCTTGCAGCTTCACCTGGATGTCAAAAACAAAAATGGTGTATGTCCAAGCTGCCTTCTCAGTTTCAGATAACTTGAATATAATTTTCAATGTTAAAATATCAGTTTGTTATCTAAACTTCACATATTTCTAATTTAGTCCCTAAAATTTAAGCTGAAGAGACCAACCAAAACTATGTTTTAATCTATATTCATTTTACCGGGAAGGTCGGGTTTCAAGTCCACTGTTAACTGAATCGGTATCAAAGAGTTTTCTTCGTCTCTTGTTGCCAGCACCGCTCTTGAGTCACCAACATTTCCAATTACAAGGTTCCGACCCTGAAAATACACATTTCACTTTTCAATTCAGCTACATATAATGAGATAAAATAACAATTTACAGTACCATATAATGGTGCATGAGCATAATCGATACATGGAAACAAGGAAAACTGTCTAGATATAGAACTCGGGGAAAAGAAATATGACACCAACAAAATTTGTCACATTAGTCAAAAGTATCCTATATTAAGAATTAACTTACCTGAGTACATTATTTGCAAGAGTTATTATCTGAAAAGAATACATTTTATCTTTTAAATTGTATAATTCAAGTATATGTAGTTGGTCCAAAATATTTCATCTGAAGAGAGGTTAGTAAGATTGTTCTTATACAAAACAGTTCCATTTATTAATGAAATGAACAGTCAAAAGCTTACCATGGAGCTAAAAAAATATGCTTCACTAGGTGCAAATCGAAGATAGCTTATTTTTACAAAAGGATTGGAGACCAGAAAAATTTGAAAGAAACCAACTATTTCCATTTTCTAACGCTTGGAGCAGATGAAACCTTCTTTCTTTCTTCTCAATCAAATTCTTTGGCTCCTAATCCCGAGCTCTCTTTTCTTGACCTAGACTTGGCTCTTCTTGGAGTTTTTGCCTTCTTGATACTTTGGTAGGCCCTGGCTCGTGGCCTGGTCTCGACTCCCAGTCAAGTACTGCCAATATTGCAAGCTTACTGCTTCTTCCACCCTTAAGCTTGGGACACTTTAGCATATCTAGGATCCCCTTCATGAAATTGAAGAGCTGATGCTTCCCGTCAAATAAAAAATGCCGGGGAAAACTACGAAAGATGACTCACATTTATGAAGCTTATTTGCTTCAGGTCATCAACACTTCAAACCACAATCGAGCAAGAACCCTCCCATATAGTACTAGAGTTGACAAGTCCCAGATCATCGAATTTCTCAGTGCACCTCATTACGTTGCAAGGTAACTTTAGGCTTTGGCCGTAAGGAGGTGATTAATAAACATAAGTGAACAAGAACAATGAAGGGAGCCAGGGAAGACCACGTTCAAATCAAAAACCTCCAAAACCTTAAGCCTGACTCCTGGGTGAAAGGACAACTGAGAAATAAACTATACACAAAAAACGTGCGTTAGAGTGGATTTGAAGCCCTATGACACAGGTCGGAGTTGCACCTTATCAAGAGTGCTTAAACTTCTAAGAGCTAAACTTCACCAGAAAATTTTCACCTTTTCAAGATATCTACCCTGGATGACTTACAAATGCATGGGTCGAGAATAAGTACTCTTTTGGTGGGCTCTAGAAAGCTTTTGGTGGGACACTAGAAAGTAGATTTAATGTTGAAAGACCCACAGACCCAATGATCCATATGAGTCTCTTCTTCGAGTGAGGAAACAATCCCTCAGAGAGATCCATTTGGAAGTTTCATGATCGTTTACTTCCTTTTCCACACAAACACCGTGAAAAGGGATTGGCAGTTCTAGCGATCCACCACCCAAGCATCCTTCTAAAAGCACAATTCAAAGAATCTAGGGAAAGCAAACTCAAAATGCTAATCAAAAGCCGGGGGAAAAGTAGTGATTACTGACAGAAGTAATGATCTTGCTATGAGATAAAGACCAAATTAACTCACTTTTTTGAAAATCTTAAATTTCCATAGAACCATAAAAATACCTTTAGGAAGGACAACAGCTTTACAACACGAGAAGTAAACATGGATTTATCCAAACATACACAAGGGGAGGATAAAATACTATCCTAAAAGAAATGATTTCGTGAAGTTTCCAGACACCTCAAAGCTTCAAAACGAAACAGAAACATCCACCATTTCAATGAACTAATCCAATCCTCTGCCTCAGCAACGTTTTCATAGCAATTTGGATACTGATGCTATGCTTTTTATCTTAATATTTCCCATGAATACTACCCAACTCCAAAGGAATAGACACTATCTTATAATTAGTAAGAAGGCTCCTACCCTATAAATTTAGCTTTTCACACATGAAATTTCTCGACCTTCAAGACTGGTTTACCAGGGATCTCGAATAAAGACAGACAGATAATAGATTGGAATGTTGCCTGATGCAGCATGGATGACAGTCAACCTGCTACATTTTGATAGGAAGGACTGTTTCCATTCTTGAATGTTACCACCAACTTTCTTGACATCAGGGTTCCTGAGATATAAGATGCTAGGCTTGCCATTGAGAGGTAACCCTTGACATTCGAGGACCAAGTTGCCAAAACAATGAAATACAACAGCAATATGCCCAGCTAGTTCACAATGACATTTAATACTTACCACCGAGCTTTTGTGGCGATTAATTACAACACCTATGGCCTTCTAAAAGATCTCACTATGTTTTGAAACATTTTGATTTTGCTCTCATCCCTAAACTAAAATAAAATAGCATCAACCTGAAGATATTTGATATGCATCTGGGTTCTCCTAACTTCAAAGCCTTCAAATGGAGTGAAATCTGCAACATTTATTGAAAAATCTGTCTGAGATATCGTGATAAAAAAAGGTGACGAATTGACGATGAGGAATCTCCTTCCATTAAATACCTCTAGAAGCTAATTCTTTCTCCTAACTTCCCTTGGTGATACAAAGAATCATTAGAATTTTATTAAATTCCTCCAGAGAACTCTAGCTTTTCCAAAGAACAGAATTTCAGAAGGTAGGAAAATATAATATCCCTTGCGCAACACGAAGCCATCCCAAACCCTTCACATAGAAAATTTCAGCTTACTTGCAAATTCATGATGAATAAACAAGTGATCTAGGGTCTTCCCATCCTTTTTACAACTCAAACAATCACAATTCACAACAAATTGTTTTTGAGGCAATGTCTTCTAAAGTCCGAACTACACTCAACATAGTCCTCTAGAGTTCAAGCACATAAAAGAAGAAACGTGAGCACTTCCTAGTGAAGTGACAAAAATAAGAAGAATTTCATATACGGAAATAACATAGTTTTATCAACACTGAGATACTGATAAACTAATTTAAGCATAATGATATATACAAAGAGAAAATTCCATCATATGATGCATGAAATATTACCTGCTTTATTAGAGTCACAGCCGTCGACCCACTGCAAAAACAATCAATTTTAGGATGTTGTTTCAACTCTTTATCCATTAATTTGAAGGACTTCAGTAAAGATACTTTGAGTGGCAGATACATCTTGGGGAATTTTTCATTTTCTTCAGCCTCCAATGACTTGTAACAATCATCATTGGCATCTAAAGCTATAGAATCTTCAGAATTTGAACTTCTGGAATGTCTCATCTCAACGAGATTGTTTTGATCTTCGTCTGATTTAGATGTCCATTGAGTACATAGGATAAGAGGGAGGGTATCACGAACCTTTTTCGCAACCATATGTCCAAAAGGACCATGTCCGTCAAATACGCCACAAAACACCGTATCTCTTCTTGAATTGAAATTCTATAAAAAAAAAATCTTTAAACCAAGTTAATCCAAAGGATGGTAATACACAAAAGACCAAAGAAAATAACATTCAGTATTTGTAACACAATTCATTTGTTCACAAATAAGGAATAAACTAAAATTAACATAACTGCATAATAGTACTATTTGGTTGAGGATGCCTTTATTAATTCAACACAGTAGTTCAGCTTTCCAGTCACAGAAAATCGTGACAGGGTTCTCTATGAGCCTAGTTATAATATGATAAATAGCATAGCATTAGTAGCTGATCAATCAGAAAATAAAGTTCACAAAATGTTATGAACTGATTTATGCATTTTTCAGCTCCTAAAAGAGGGGGAAAAGACCTTCCATACACAAGGAAACGCTTCGGCAGCTAAAACCTGTTTCTCTGGAAAAGCTGAAAAAACACCATCACAGACTATATTGACAGTGGCTAGGAGCTATTTAGAAGTTGTTCTTAAGAATTATTTTCTATTCCAAAGAGTAGAGAAATTTTTTTCCAGAAACCCCGCATCAACTGTAGTTGCTGCTATTACAATCCTTGGATGTGCCGGTTAACTTCATGGACTGAAAACTTAAAAAAACTTTTTTGCATCCAAAATAACTCCATTTGACTCTACAAATGACTAAACTGGCGCAGTTGTGACTTTTATGATGCCACCTTGTATTCTCTGAATTATCCATTTAAATATGCAAATATGCAACAACTTGGTGATCATGGACAGTAAGGGCATGTTTGGGATGCCTTTCGAAAAAATTGTTTTCAAGGGAAGCGTTTGTTTTACATTCTTAAAGTAAAAGGTGAAGTGCTTTTTTGAATACTTTTAGGAAAAAAGAAACACTAATTAAATGATTCAACTAAAAGCACTTAGAGTTTTTATCTGTTTTTAAGAATTTTTCAAACTACTTTTGATTATCGAAAATTATTCAGAAAAATAAAGAGGATAAAGCAATCATCCTTCTTAATATTTATGTGGAAATGCAGTCCAAGAGGATTTGTAGTAAGTAGCCTAGGGACTAAAGAACATTCCCATAGCAAACTATAAATTAGTTTTGAGTGGTGCTTTGTGCTTTTTCCATAAACATTTTTGGAGTGAACGCTAACTGTAGGATGATTTTAAGCATTCAAAAATTTCAAAATCACTTTTGACTGATAATCAACAATCATGAAAATTTTGAAAAGTGCTTTTAGTCTTCTTTTCACCTCCCCCACAGAAAGTCTGCAATCAACCCGCATGAACCTTCAGTCTACAGAATGCACCAAGAGACAGATAACAGCAACAGTACACAGCATACGACTGTAGGGACAGCGATCCTTTTTTCTTTTGGGATGGCGATGTTCTTTTTCAGGAGAAAGACCCTAAAGAAGGAAGCACTAGAAACCTTCCCAGAACCCAAAAAGAGTATCAATATTCAAAAAAACCACTTCAATTGAGACTATCCCAAAAACCAGCAGAATCTCCATATCTTAAACTTCAAACAGCCATTTCCAAGTGATGTATGGATGCTCAAACATAAAATGACATTGATCAATTTCTAAAACAAAGAACAAAGTGATGTAACAGTGTGAACTTACCTCCTGTACAATCATGGCGTCTTGATTAACCCCTTTCTTCCCCTGCTGTGTATACAAACATGCGATTCTCGATGACCCATTAGTACAAATCCTCCCCGGAACCTCGAATTCGTGGATTTTCTCCGAACAAACCCCAACCCCATGAGTTTTACTCGATTTCTTCTTCCACCACCGCTGCCTACTGGTCGTAGGGTACAATGAAGAAGACGAAGAAGAAGAAGAAAAAGACGCCGTTGTAGAAGCCGCCGGAACCTCAGTAACCGCCGCCGCCGGCGCAGGACAGTCATCGCCGCCCCTCCTCCGCCCTACAGATGACGAATGGCAAGA